AGATCTATCAGACTATGATGGAGTGAATGATTTGATCAATGGATATTCTCTTCTTTTTTCAATTTTTAATCGATTCACAACAATTCTTTCGTTTTTCATATAAATATAAAAAAATACAGATTCGAGCCGTCATTAATCATTTGGAGATAGTATTGCAGTACTATACGTATGCATATAGGTTTATCCTTCATCCTTTCGGAAGTTTCGATGTAAGGATTCCTTTACTAACACAATGCAGCCAACTCCATTTGTTAGAACAGCTTCCATTGAGTCTCTGCACCTATCCTTTTTTATTCTCGGTTTATGAAACCCTTGTTTGTTTTAATAAAACAGGATTTGGCTCAGGATCGCCCATTTTTAATTCCAGGGTTTCTCTGAATTTGAAAGTTCTCACTTGGTAGGTTTCCATACCAAGGCTCAATCCAATTAAGTCCGTAGCGTCTACCAATTTCGCCATATCCCCTTTTTTGTTTTGTGATGTGATTAGGATCACATTATGATGCCGTCACCCTTTTTTCTTTCATTTATATTATGCTGGAACCGTTGAATTCATTAGATACCGGTTCCTATATTGAAAAGTGTTTTCTACTATTTGATTTCTTGTCTATTTTCTTTGATCTCTATCGGAGACCAGTATTTGGTCCAATCAGAAATGATTCTATCATTTCTATATCACATTTCTATATCAGAAATTCAATATAGATATATACCGCATAACATATATATTATACTATATATAATATATTTATTATACTTAGATATGCCCCTATTTCTATCCGTGCAATTTTGAATACTTGAACGGTCGATTCTTTTTTTTTTTTTCATCTTAGCTTTCGCCTTTTCGAATGAAACCAGAGGAGTGTTTCATTATGATATGAATTACACTTTTATCTTTCATGTTATTCTTATCCTTTTCTTAGGGCAGACCCTCTATAACATAACAAAAAAAAGGAAAATTTGAGTATTATTAATTTAAAATTTAATTACTAGCCATAACTAATAAAATGGCTATAAACAATCATTCCGTTAATTTATAATTAGAATATAATTCTAAATAAAATATATAAAAAAATTAAAATATATTTCATATATAATATATATGAAATATAATAAAATATCAAAAAAACATAGTACTATAGAATAGTAAAAAAAAAATCTTACTATTTAATTAAGCTAATTAAGATATTAATTATCGATAAACATATATTTGAGAAATAGATCGAAATTTAATATTCAAATATCCAATATTTTTGGAAATATTCTTTATATATATATTTTATATATTTATTTTTATTATTTTTATATAAATAATATTTCTTATGAAATAGCTAAGAATGAACAATTAATATCTCAGTAGTTTACTAAATTAGTATATGTGTACAATTTATGTTATGCGAGCCCGCTTAGCTCAGAGGTTAGAGCATCGCATTTGTAATGCGATGGTCATCGGTTCGATTCCGATAGCCGGCTTTTCTCCATTTGTTTGATTTTTTACATAATTTAATTGATAATGTGAAATCAAAGTGAAAAACTTCTTTCCCTTTTCCCAAGGGTCACTGATCTATTTCTATTATTTCGTAGGAACTTCCAATTATGAATAAAAATTGGATTGGAGGAGTTCGGTCTCTGTAGAACAAATCAATTAAGATAAGAAAAGAACCCTAAATTTTTATTATTTTAAATTCTTTTTATTTATATAATACAATTATTTATATACAATAAGGTACGGATATTGATACAATTCCTCTAATTATTTATTCTTTGTAATACTTCAGTAAATTTCGCTTAATTTATCATATTTTAGTTTAGTTTTAATTTTGTTTTATGAAATTTCATAAAAAATAAGGAGTCTTTATGTCGCGTTACAGAGGACCTCGTTTCAAAAAAATCCGTCGTCTGGGGGCTTTACCGGGGCTAACTAGTAAAAAGCCTAGAGCCGGAAGCGATCTTAGAAACCAATCGCGCCCCGGCAAAAAATCTCAATATCGTATTCGTTTAGAAGAAAAACAAAAATTGCGCTTTCATTATGGTCTTACAGAACAACAATTACTTAAATACGTTCGGATCGCCGGAAAAGCCAAAGGGTCAACAGGTCAGGTTTTACTACAATTACTTGAAATGCGTTTAGATAACATCCTTTTTCGATTAGGTATGGCTTCGACTATTCCTCAAGCCCGCCAATTAGTTAACCACAGACATATTTTAGTTAATGGTCGTATAGTAGATATACCAAGTTATCGCTGCAAACCCCGAGATATTATTACAGTGAGGGATGAGCAAAAATCCAGGGCTCTGATTCAAAATTATCTTGATTCACCCCCCCGTGAGGAATTACCAAAACATTTGACTCTTCACCCATTCCAATATGAAGGATTAGTCAATCAAATAATAGATAGTAAATGGGTCGGTTTGAAAATAAACGAATTGCTAGTTGTAGAATATTACTCTCGTCAGACTTAACCATAACTAAAATAACAAGGGTTCGGGCAATTTTGCCCCCTTCATTTTGGCTTAAGTAAAGGGACCCGGGGTAAGTAAGGTAAGGGGTTTCATCTGGGGATTTTTCTCTTATTCATGTATCATAGATCGGTAGGGTATTTTCATTCCTTGTCGATTTTGTCCAGTATTTTTCGTACCACAGAAATTCGGGGTAGGAATAGATAATCTATATCAAAGAAAGGTCTAACTGTTGGAGTATCCATTCTTATTTGATGCATTGCAGTCAGTAACATTGGTGAATTAGTTGACGAGTACGGAAAGAGAGGGATTCGAACCCTCGGTAAACAAAAGTCTACATAGCAGTTCCAATGCTACGCCTTGAACCACTCGGCCATCTCTCCTACATAATGATTATGGCCCAAAAACCGAGTGAATAGTGAGTCATTCATATTATTTTGGATAGGTATTATGTACATTCAATTTTAACTCTAAAAATAGAAAACTTTTCATCAAAGAAAAATACTTCCTCCGAGGCTGGGGATAAAGATAAATCCTTTTGGGAAAAATTGTAAAATAAGGATATATATCTATTCATGTTTGCGAAGATGGTGTTTCCGCCCTTTCTAATATTTATACCGGATTAAATCACTCAATTGAAACGAATCCAATGATCGATATATTTTTTTTAGACTGTGTTTAATGGATACCTTTAAATCATGATTCTATTTAGTTTACACTATTATTCAATTTTCATAAAAATTATAAAATTTCTTTCCAGTTTTAGATTTTTCAACAACAACTCTTTACTCCAACTTCTTAACCCATAAATTTATTCCAAATTCATGAACCGCCCCCGGATTTTTTTTATTGATTCCTGTCAAAAAGAAACAATTTGAGTAAAAGGTCTTCCTTTTTAATGAATCCGTTTTTATGTTATTTCGTACTGCACAATTCCTTTGTTTGTGGGATCATTTTCTCACGAAAGGGAATTAAAATAAATTATAGAATGGATTAATACACCTATGTCTAGATCTGGGATAAATGAAATTTTTATTGATAAACCCTTTTCAATTGTAGCCAATATCTTATTACGAATAATTCCGACAACTTCGGGAGAAAAAGAGGCATTCACCTATTACAGAGATGGTGCGATTTGATTATTTTTTTATTTTTTTTATTTTTACCGCTCTCGGTCTTAAGAGAAAGACAACATTATTCGGGATAGGAAGAAAAAAATTATGGAAATAAATCTACGCTTGTTGAAGGTGAAGTTTGTAAATAAAACAACGCCTTCTGTCGTGTATCCCCGATTAATGCAGCCTCAGATGCTTCAATTGTCGATTCTAGAGTATTGAGCGAAAGGTTACACCTATGGGTTAGGTCAACCCTACTCCACTAGTACCAATAGGGTGCATAGGGGAAGAAGCACTACTCCTAGGAATCAACACACGAAAACTTTGTTATAAATTATCCCTTTTCCTTATCAGGATCGGGACTAACAATGGTTGGGACAACAAACATCCATCTCGTTCGTATTTTGGATACCCGTATAACCATCGAAGACTGTTGAAGTGACTAATTCCTGCAAATTTAAGGGCGTTGAAGACAAAGAAATTGTTGGAGTAACTTTTTTTTATCTAATACCAACATGCTTGATGTTAAGGAAAGATCTTCTACAAGAAGGTTGGCTAGAGATTTCTTGTAAAAACACCAGCCCCGCTTAGTTTATAATGAGAATATTTCAGTCTTTTTGATTCCATGTATTATTATCATTATGCACATAAAGGAGGAGCCGTATGAGATGAAAATCTCATGTACGGTTCTGAAACGGAGATTCTTTGAATCGAATGACGACCGTAACGGATGTCGGCTCAATCCGAAGGAAATTATGCGGAAGCTTTACAGAATTATTATGAAGCTATGCGACTAGAAATTGATCCTTATGATCGAAGTTATATACTCTATAACATAGGCCTTATCCACACAAGTAACGGGGAACATACGAAAGCTTTGGAATATTATTTTCGGGCCCTAGAGCGAAACCCATTCTTACCACAAGCTTTTAATAATATGGCCGTGATCTGTCATTACGTGCGACTATCTCCACTATAGAAATAAAAAAAGGAAAGAAAGAAAAAATCCGTTAACGTTAATAAATACTAGAAACAAAGAGTAGGCTTTCTACATATGTATCGTTCAAAACAACGATTTTTATCAGCTGTAGCAAAGAAATAAACTTCATAAAAGTCGAAATATGAATATGAAGAAATAGGTATGCCTAGATACTTTACTTTTATTCTATGGATAAAGGATCTAATTGATAGAGGAAGCGCCGTAAAGATCAATTCGCGAGGTTTTGGTCCGATACAATAAGAACTGCTTACTTATGTCATGATATGAGATAAAAGTTAGGAATCCACTTATGTAATAGAGTCGATCCCCTAAGGTATTGAGCAGCGGTGTAGCATCAGATCCCAAAGATGGTAAGTCTTTTCCTTCTTATGAAGGAAGGCCTTTTTCAAAGATTCTATATAAATTTATATATGAAACCGAGATAGTTACCTTTCAGAAAATTCGAATAATAGTGAAAACGCTTATGCTTTATTTTTCTGAAGGTGGGAGAAAAGATAAAACTGATTATTAATAAAAATTTTAGTTTGAAACTCATGTAATTAACCTCTTTCTTTTGGTTAACTCGAGAAAAAAAAAATGGGATATATCTCTGAGAAATCTCATTTAATTAGTATAGGGTAATGAAAAAATAGGACACCAAAAGAATTTGACCCCTGAGCCGTATGAGGTCGGAAACTCTCAAGTACGGTTCTAAGGGAAGGGATTTACCCCCCTATTCCGACCGGGGAGAACAGGCCGTTCAACAAGGGTATTCCGAAATTGCGGAGGCTTGGTTCGATCAAGCCGCCGAGTATTGGAAACAAGCTATAGCGCTTACTCCTGGTAATTATATTGAAGCACAGAATTGGTTGAAGATTACGAGGCGCTTCGAATAAGAAGACTATTATTACTATTATTATTTAATTTATAATTTAGATATTTCGTTTTATATATTTTTTATATTTGTTATAATTAATTATAATAATTAATTATAAAATTAATTATTTGTTGTCCCTATTGATCAAATAACTAAAACGGAGCATTTCTCTGGGAAGAACCAATCAAAGAATTTCATTATATCCCTTCTAAAATAATTCTATTTCGTCTGGTAGCACAGCTAAGACAGCGGTGGGTTTTCTGCCCCTGCGGGGGTGGAGCGACAGAAGTTTTGAGAATTCAAGAGAAGGTCACGACGAGACGAGCCGTTTATCATTATGATAAACTTCCAGATCATAATTGCTCTAGTGAATAACTAAAGAAAATAGATAGATGGGAGATGGAAGAGAAAAAAACTAAGTCTAAACATCTCTCATAGGTTCACTAATTACTTAACTATTTATTGGCGGGGGTCTTTTTTTGTGTTGTCCGGAAAGAGGAGGGCTCAATGATTAT